CTGCTTGAGGTGTCATGCCGGTGGTCAAAAAATTTTACATTTTAGAGAATTTTGAATTTCAGACTTTATATTAGGGAGGCCCATTTCATATAATGATCAGTAGAAGTAAGAAGTCATGAGCCTGATTGTGATTTCAGACTTGGGATTGGAACAGTGTGTGAGCAATTGCATAGGAGGCAGGGTCCAGCTGGATGTACAAATTTGAGCTTTGGCCATCTGGAACTGATGCTCAGAGTGGGAGGAATGAGGTTCTTGAAGAGAACCCTGTTAAGTGGGAGAAAGTGAGGCAGAGATATGAAATTTGGTACTTGATTTTTGTTCCTGTCTTCCCTTCCCTTTTAGTAGTGGTGTATTTAATTTGAACCAATTGATTCATTCTAAGTTATTGTTGAACAAACAGAGCAGGCAGTGGTCTGGAAATGGGGACATTGCTTGTTCAGTAGACAAAGGACACATTTTGCCCTGGAAGAGGTCACTGTGTTTCCGAGCACTTTGGAAGGCTCTGAGTGATACACTAGTTATAATACATCATTCTTGCCTAGCCATCGAAGCAAGTTTTCTGAGAACTTCTGCCAAACAACATTTTATTGGCCTAGTTTGGATTACCATGCCTACTTGAAAGCAGTGTATTTATCTCTTAGCATTCGGATCTGCTTTCACATTTTCTTCTGATTTGTGGGCATTTTTGATGTTGTTGTCTTATCTTCTGTCTTATCTTGTGTTCCCAAATTTGGTCATACACTGATCCCAGGCTCATTTTCGCTATGTGAGAGCACCTAATAGTTCTCACGGGATTGGATTGCCCTCCTTCTGCCCTTGGCACAAGTAGGAAAGTTTTTTTTGACAAGGGAGGGGCATCACTGATTTTAGTGTGTGTGGTTGAGGTTGACAAAGTCCTGGGAAGGACTGGAAAGTCCTTCAATCTCACCCCCTGTACTGAGGAACACTGATAGAACAAGTCTGATTTGTTGGGTCATTTTACATATTTTGTACTAGACAAGCATGAAGGTTGAAATTTTCAGTAATTGCAAACTAATTTCTGGGTCACATCATAGGTTACTTGTGGTTTGAATTAGTAAAGAGTTCAGACTATTTTCAGACCTGTTTTGCTGAACACTTTCTACAACTTTTTTGACTGTTTATGTAATACCTCGGAGATGGTAGGGAGTTTCGTTTCTTTTTTTTTTTTTTTTGGTACTGGGGATTGAACTCAGGGTCTCACACATGCTAAGCCCATGCTCTACAGCTGGGCTCCCCTCCCCCTCAGTACTATTTTTTGTATATGGTGGTTTAAATAATCTGTTCTCAACCATGACTACATATTGGAACTTCCCAGGGAGCATTTAAAAATGCTGATGCCTACGTCCTACCCCCCACATTGTTATTTAATTGGTCTAGCACATGGCATTGGGATTTTTAAAAACTCAGGTGATTATAATGTGCAGCTATGATTGAAAACTATTAGTGTAGATGTTTAAGAAACTCTGCAAAGGTAAGAGCAATAAGGATGATGAATTCAGCTGAATGAAATAATTTTTCATTTACCCATGAAACATTTATTGCGATGACTAAGCAAGCCACCACTTTAAGCCTCATGGAGTTCAGAGCTTTGGCTTTCATTTTTGAATCCTAAAACTTCTATTCTAGAGGAGATACTGACTGGGGAGTTGGTTCAGCCCCAGCTCTCCTGGAGCTCTAGGGGTGACAGGGGAGGCCCCAGATCAGAAGGAAGATGAATCTGATGTGAAGTGGACCGTGAGCAAAGTGGCATGATTACAGTAGCCCTCTTCAGACACTTTCTTGGCACTTAGATGTCCACAGGCACCAGGCGCTACACAAGCTGCACTGGGCATGTGAGTGAATGAAGAATCTGGCTGCCCGAATATATTCAGAGTTGGCCTGAATGAGGAGGGTACGCTCATAGTGTAGAAATAAGTAACACTTCAAATTGGCATACCCCCACCCGCCACTCCAGTTCTTTTGTACCATTTGGTCTTCAGCTTGAAACTGGCTAGAGGGCTTCTTTTAGCTCATATAGGTCCTTTCTGCTAACTTTACTGGCTAGAAAAAGGGGATGGCTGCCATGTGTGCTTGGCCAGCCGTCAAGGCCTTTGTGTGGGTCAAAGTGACAAGGGTCTCCTCAGCTCAGGCCGCTGGGCCAGACTCTTGGTCTACTGCACAGCCTGGTCAGTTACACACAGGGTGATCCTGCCTGGATTGTCTTCTTCGTCATCATGGGGGGACTTGTGTTCTGTTTCATAATGTGCCAACAGAACCCAGTCTTGAGGCCACTTACCACAAGTGATGATTTGTTTTATACACTTTCAAAACAGAAAACATCTGGTCTAGCCAAGGAAGGATTGCATAATTACATAGTAGCTTCACATTCACAGTAACTTCTGCTGGGCTGGGTGTACTCTTCCCTACTGCCCTGCACTCAGCTCAGTCACCTGCATGGTGGGCTGACCCACCAGGCCTCAGTGACAAACACAAATTGAACCAAACAAGATTTGTTTACTTTATTGAGTTTGAAACCCCAATTGTTTTTAGGGAAGAGGAATTCAGCCTTAAACACTACAATTCTGGAGACATAATTCAGGCCTTCCCTTTTAATTTCCTGAAACCAATTTCAGAAGAGCAAAGCAGGCTAGATTATTTTCTGCCAAATGACTCTCCCAAAGGCCCAGTTTTGCTAGGAGTAAGTGAGAATTCAATGATGCATTGGTTCACTGCTCATGTTTGCAGATGCTTACGTTGGGATGGGTGTGTGATATGGATTCTGCGCCAGTAGTTTCTCCCTGCTGTGGAGCAGTTTTTTGGGAGTGGCCTCAATTTCTTCATTTTGGCCATCATATCACCTGACCTTTCTGCCTGTGTCTTCTCATCTTCTGTCTCTTATAAGAGCAGCTGTCTGGCCTTACCCAGATCCTCTCTTTCCTGTGTTCCAGCTGCACCCTAGCTTTGGCACTGCATTCTGAGGGGAGGAACCCCTTTCCCTGGGGTAAACACCTGTTGGTGGCTTTTCTAGAGGTTTTCCTCTAGATGTCAAGGATGCCTGCAGTCCCCCTGTTTTCTCTGTTTTTCATTTTACACAATTGCTGGCACTACATAAGTCTTGGGGCTGTGGCCCAATTATTTCCACCTATTCCTGTTACAGGGTTTGGGGTACACTCTGCCATCTAGTTTTGTTCTAAATGTTATCCTTGAATTTAGGTTCTGTTATCCTAATCATGGTATCTTTGGTAATTTAGAAGATTTAAAAAATTAGGGTTTCACTGCCATTTTACTACTACTTTTGCTATTGTTTGTTGAGCAAAGTTGAAAAACTGAATTTTTGGTAGGGATAGTAATTTGCTAGGGCTACTGTGTCAAAGTACTGCAAATCAGATGGTTTAAAACATGAGAAATTTATTCTCACAGTTCTGGAGGCCAGAAATCTGAGATTCAAGGTATGGCAGGGCTACACTTCCCCTGAAAGCTCTGGAAAAAAAGTCCTTCCTTGTCTTTCAGCTTCCCTGCAGCTCTCCTGGGTCACGGCCCTTACCATGCAATGCTTCAGTTTTCTTATCATCTGGCCCTCTTCTTCCCTGTTTTCTCTTCTGTCTTTTATAAGGACACATGTCACTGGTTTAGGGTCCACCAAGATCATCCAGATGCTCTTATCTTCTACAAAGACCCTTTTCCAAATAAAGATATGTTCACAGGATTTGGGGGCTGCCATGCCACCCGCTAGAGTAGTGGCAGCAGATTTTTAAGTGGCAGTGAATTCAGTTTTTAAAAAGTCTGTGTAGGCCAGAATAACATGCATCTGCTGTCCAATTTGGCATCTGAATCCCCACCCTGATTTGTTTGTGGCCTTTACTTTTACTGTGCACTAGAAAGATCTTGAAGACACAAAAGCCATGCATAGTGCAGAAGTCCTTAACTTCCACTTCTGGTTTTGGCACTGGCGAGTTTATGGCAGGAATTCTAATGTAATTTTCTTGGGAAACCACACTGTAGTCAGCGGTGAGTCTTTTTCTTTTGTCTTGGTTTGGGTCACAGGGATGCTTTGCTTTGATGATGCTTTCCGCCCATGTCATTTTTTCCATATGAGAAGCCTGCCTGCAGAAGCTAGGGGGGCAGTGAATTTCTCTTGTCACATTTTGGTTATTCATTTTACCTTTATTAGGAAATGACTGCTTTCCAAATATAACTACAGAAGAGCAAATTGCATTTTGCCTTACGTCTAAGTATTGACATGTTGGATGTTCTTAAAGATTCTGGCTTCCATCTGAGTCTGCCAGATGTTAATACATTTTATTTGGGAACACTGTGCTCTTATTTGGGGGACAGGGTGTGAGGTGGGGCAGGGTAGGGAGGAGTAGTACCCACCTGAAAGTTTTGTTTAGTTTCTACCAGTTAGAACTGTTAGTGAACATCACCATTTAATTTCTCTTTTCCAATTATATAGCCAACATATCTTTTTTGTAAAACTCCTGGGAAATAAAACCAAAAGTTTTCAAGTCATTCATGATACCCGTAACTGGTAGATGCGCCTCTCCTTTCCTAGAACTGTGTATCCTCATTAATTTACTTAGCCTAAAGTGATATTTCATTTGTTATATTTCCATTTCTTTACTTTCTGGCTAAACTGAGGATTTTATTTTGCTATCTCTAGTTAGGTTGAATAGCTATCCGTCTATATCATTGATGCAACTCTGTGGTCAGTTTTTGTTTTCTTACTGGGTAACCAGGTATTCTGTTTGTAGCACTTGCTGGGTAGAGAGTGTTTCTGGCTCATGATAGAGGGCTGGGAACAGGATAAGTCTTTGTTTAGATTTTCTTGTAAATTTTAAAATTTAAATTTTATTAATTTTTTTTTTTTGGTTCTGGGGATGGAACACAGAGCCTCATGCATGGTGAGCAAGCATTCTGTCACTGAACTATACCTCCAGCCCTTAGTTTTCCTTTTGAATGTTCCTTTTTGACCATCTTACTGTCTTCCCTCTATCTTTCAGCTGATGGTGAGACCATTCTAAAAGGCCTCCAGTCCATTTTCCAGGAGCAGGGGATGGCAGAGTCGGTGCATACCTGGCAGGACCATGGCTATTTAGCAACCTACACAAACAAAAATGGCAGGTGAGGTGGCCTCGAAGGCTCTTCTTCAGATTTGAGCTCTTAAGGAAGAGCAGAGGTGGGGACAAAAGGGAGGGTAGGGGTAGGGTCTTAAGTTTTTTCTTCCTTTGACATCTTGTAGGAGGGAGTAGAATTCAGTGCTTCTCAACCCTAGCTGCACATTAGTGTCTTCTGGGAGAACTTAAACAAAATACCCCCGCCCAGGTATTTCCACAGAGATTGAGGCTACTGGGCCTGGACATCTGTATTTCTGTGAAGCCCCAATGATTCTACTGTGCGGTTAGCTAAGACCAAGAACCCCTTGCAGCATAATCATGTGAATTGCAGGCAGTGAGCCAGAGTTGGTTAAAACAGAGTTTCTGCTTCAGCAAGTCCGGGGCAGGTTACCCGCTTGCATTTATGACAAGCCCCTGTGATGATGCTGCTGCTGGCTGGAGCACTGTTTATGAGAGACGGTCTGTTAACACACACCGCAGCAAAACGAAGGATGGCTACATCTGCAAGTAGCTTGACAGCAAGATGAAATGATCCAAGAGTTCAAGGTTTTTTTTTTAAAGACGATAGCCTATATAGACTTTCTGTAGTCAGAAGTAAAGATGTTCTGGAGAGTAGGAAAGAAAACCTAAATTAAGAAATGACTGATAGTAGAAAATGCCATGCATTGAGCTCTTTGTGCCTTAAAACTCGGTTTATGTTATATCTAGACTGGTTTAGTATGCAAAACTGTTAAGATTCTTAGTAATTTGCTCTGCTAGTTTGAAACTGAATTGCTAGGTATTTTCAGTGACTTTTATTCTGTTTCCCCAGTTGGTGCAAAGTACTGGAATTCCACGTGGTTTCCTTAATATCCCCTTTTCCCTTCCTTTGTTTTTCTATTAAAAGAAAAAGCAGCCACACCCATGACCTTCTAGAGGTCCAGAAGACAGAATGCTGTGCGATGAGGGAAAACTGCTTTTTGAGCCCCCCTCCCCATTATTCTAAGTCTCCAAGGCCTTGTGGCATTAATTGGTGTTCTCTGTCCTATGCCTCGCAAAGCCGTGCTAAGCCCAGACTTGTATTCTAACTATGTGACCAACTTCCCTGTGTGTGTTTAGCACCTATGTCAGATGTGTCAGAAGTGATAATTTCTTCAAAAAGGGTGGCCCAAAGTCAGCATCACCACAAGTCCTCCTCTTCTCCCTATCCTGATCCTCCTTACTGGGCCAGTAACTGAGAGGCTGCCTTCCAGCCTGTCTGATTCAGCAGGCTTATACTCAGCTCCTCTCTGTGCCTTCCACCTTGCACTGTTTTTATGGTGGTCCATTCTTTGGGAACCATAGCAAATTGGAACTCTGCCACCTTGGTAGATTCCTCAACTCCCAGGTGAAAAGTTCCTTCTTGCCAGGCTCCGATGGTTCATGCCGGAGTAGCCTGTAATCCTAGCTACTCGGGAGGCAGAGATCAAGAGGATTGTGGTTCTAGGCCAGCCCCAGCATAACACATGACCCTATCTTAAAAATAAAGAAAAAAAAGGCTGGCAGTACGGTTGAAGTGGTAGAGCACCTGCCTATGAAGCCTGAGGCCCTGAGTTCAACCCACAGTACTGCCAAAAAAGAAAAAAAAAGCCAATCTTTACCTACAGGCAGGACACCAGGGCTGTGGTTTGAGAATGGAAGGTTAGTTGGGAGAACCCACCTTTCCTTCCTTCAGGTTAAATAAACCTGACAGAACCACCTGGAGACCTTTTTTTTTAAAAAAAAAAATCAGATTTATAGCACTACTGAATCACTTTCTGGGCCCAAGAGGCTGTATTGGAACTTTTTTTGGTGGGGGAGGCAGTATTGAGGTTTGAACTCAGCCTCACACTTGCTAGGCAGGCGCTCTAATGCATGAGCCACTCCACCAGCCCTGAGAATTTTTTTGTTCTGTTTTTTTTTTGAGACACCGTCTCATTCTGTAGTCCATGCTAACATTGAACTCTTGATCTTCCTACCTTAGCCTCCTCATGGCTGGGGTTACAGGCATGTACCACCACACTCAGTAAGAAGCAGTATTTAAATTTGGTGATGCCATCTAAATCTTCCATAAATGGTTGGTACTGTCTCCCTCCAAGGAGAGGCCTCAAAAAGAAAACTTAAGACTTAACCGTGTAATTCAGGGAAGTAAAGAGCTTTGTTTTTTTCCCCTTAATTGGGGTGGACTCTTTTTCTTTAGAGTGCCATGATACAATTACTAACCTAAAAATTATACTTTCTTTTGTAGCTTTGCCAATTTGAGAATTTATCCACATGGCTTGGTGTTGCTGGACCTTCAGAGTTACGACAGTGATGCACAGGGCAAAGAAGAAACTGACAGTGTTAGTTTTTCACTTTTATTTGCCACTTTAATTTTGTTAAAATTTATTTAAGGATCATAACATCTGCTTAATTTAATGATGTGAAAATTATTTTCTCTGAATTGTTGGCCTCCCAGTTAACTCAGTTTTAAACTCCCTCCCTGAAGATAACTGGTTTCAGAAAATTGTTGTTCTTCAATGGGTTTGGGGAATGTGGCTGTCTGTTTTCCCTTTAAATTTCCTGAGTATGAGTAAGAATTTTACTTTGTACAGGGCAGAGTATAGTACTTTTAGCTATGATTTTGTACCTACAGTATCCTTTAGCCTTCCCTTCCCAATTATTCTAATGCTAACTTAGGCTAGGTTAGGTAGCACCATGAGGGATAGTTGGTGTGGGGGAGTGTAGAATTGGGCTAGGCCTGGAGGCTACTGTAGGGATGGGGTGGAGGGCTGTATGAGCCAGCATCACACAGTACTGCCAATTTGGCTTCAGGCCTCTGTTCTGTAATTTAGCTCTTCTGTGTAGCTTGCAGTATAAACCCATTGATTTGATTTATTTTAATTGTAGCTTTTGAACAAAATAGAAGAAAGAATGAAAGAATTGAGTCAGGACAGTACTGGACGGGTAAAGCGGTAAGTCCACTCATGAATGTCCTTTGATATTTGTTTAATTGATAAAATAATCAGAATGGCAATGTTGCTCCTAGTAGTGTCTACTTAGGATGTAGAAAGGATCAAAGTCAATGCCTGTTTCTGGCGACACTGGCCTGTCACGTTGAAGTAGGACAGAATGTATGAAAACAAGAACCCTTGGGGGTGGAGAAGGGGAATACTGGCTACTGGCATGGAGTAAGTCCAGGGATCCGGATAAAGCAGAGACACATGTTGGGCTGCCACTTCCGTCAAAGGGGAGATAGACCCTGCCCTTTATCTACTGTGGAGTTCTGAGCTCCACAGTAGAATTAAACAATTTTAAGAGGAGTGATAAAAATTTTGCTTCAAAACTTTCAAGTTAGAAAAACTTCCAGAAGGTTCTAAGAATTGAGAGGCCACCCACCGTCAGCTGCCACAAGTAGATCATTTCAAATGGTAACAAAAATAGCAACAATAAAAAACCCTGAAGCTTTCCCTAACAGGGTAACCAACCACATGCGGCTATTTACTGTTCACTTTTTTGTGATGCTGGGGATGGAACCAAGGGCTTGGCACAGGCTGAGCAAGTGCTTTATCCCTGGGCTATATCCCCAGCCCCACTTGTGGCTTGCTTTTCTTTTTTTGTGGTACTGGGGCTCGAACTCAGTGCCTACACCTTGTGCCACTCCACCAATCCATTTTTTGTGAAAGGTTTTTTGAGATAGGGTATCATGAACTATTTACCCAGACTGGTTTTGAACTGTGATCCTCCTGATCTCTGTCTCCAGAGTAGCTAGGATTATTACAGTTGTGAGCCACTGGCATCCAGCATAGGTGGCTACTTAAAGTAAACACTTTAGTTCCTCAGTTGTGTTAGTCTTATGTCAATAACTAGTGGCTACCATACTGGAAAGCATATATAAAATATTTCCACCATTGCAGAAAGTTCTGTTGGATGGTGCTAAAGTGTCTGTCAGTGGCATCAGATTTTAAAGAACTTTGACAGTGCAGCAATTTTGACATTTGCTGGAAGGTACAGGGTCTGGTAGATCTGTGCTTTGGTGGTTCCTCCTCTGGCTCCAAGGTGTAGGAGGCCCGTCCCTTTCTACAGATGCAAAGACAGACGTGGAGGGAATTTCCCAAGGTCACCTCAGCACCACTGGGATGATTGGAATACCTGTTTCTCCAGTTCATAGAGCAGTTTCTAGTAGAGGGAATCAGTATTGGCAAGGGCCCATATGTTTAAGTACTTAATGATTCACCCTCTTGAATTTGATCAGCCCATAGGAAAGCTCCAGGGTAGATGTAAGATAGCTAGGTAATTGTTTTACCACTGGAAGATAGAAGGGAAATCAAAGGGAAGACAACTGTGTGCAAACCTTGCCCACTTTTTGAAATCTGAGCACTCATTTTTTTTACCCCACCCAAGCTCATCTTAGCAATCCTTGGCATGTCTCTTCCTTGTTCTAAACACTTCCACACCGCTTTCTGGACAGGACATCTTTTTCTGCTTGCAGCTATCATTATCTGCATCCATCTGAATTGAACAGGTTCCCACTATGAGCGCACACCAAAATGTGCTCAGATTTTTATCAGGGCTACTTCTAGGAGTGAGAAAATAGAATGTATTTCTGGGCATTAGCTTTTTTTTTTTTTTTTTTCATTTTTCTTTTATTATTCATATGTGCATACAAGGCTTGGTTCATTTCTCCCCCCTGCCCCCACCCCCTCCCTTACCACCCACTCCACCCCCTCCCGCTCCCACCCCTCAATACCCAGCAGAAACTATTTTGCCCTTATCTCTAATTTTGTTGTAGAGAGAGTGTAAGCAATAATAGGAAGGAACAAGGGGTTTTGCTGGTTGAGATAAGGATAGCTATACAGGGCATTGACTTTATGAGAAGTCTGCTTTATCTCCTTTTTTTTTTTTTTTTGATAAAGGAGTTTTCTAAGTGAGACTGGTATCAAGCTTTAGGTTTTCATTCATTTCAAAATATGGACCTTGTTTTTGCTTGTCACAGTTTTTACATCTTTTCATAAACAAGGATGAAAAGAGTGAGAACTTGGGAATACTTTGTCATTGACTCCAAAAGGAAAAGGACTGTTGTACTTTTCTGCCTGGGGAATGATATTAGAGATGAAATCAGTGACAAATGGTAACATGATCTGAAATTACTATTCACTTTGGCTAACAAATTAAATCTGAATTTTTGACTAAGAAGCCATGGTTTATGTCAAAATTTATTTTTGTATTCTACCTTGAAATGAAAAGGAATAAGAAGATAAAGTTACATAAGTTTTGGTTTAAAAAACAGTCTTGAAATTTACAGTGTGTCTGGACCTAGAACACACTTCACCTGACTTTCGCCAATCCATTTTTATTTTGCGGCAGCAAATGTTGAAATGAGTTTTGTAGGACTCCATGGTGTCTCCTGGTAGCCCATTCTAGGGAAATGCACTTCATGCCAGGTTGAGTACTTCATCAAGGTAATGGCTTCCACATCCTGTTAGATATCCTTGTTTCTTTGCTGGTCTTTTAAAAAAACATTGCGTTGCAGTGGAGAAGAAAGCTTTTCAACTTAACCAAGGTGCTGTTGACACAGTTGAGAATAGGTATTGTTTACTTTCTGTGGATTTGTGCCTAGTTCAGTGTTACCTATCACAAGCTTGTTGTCAACTAGCAGGCTTGCTGGCTTTCCTCCCCTGAAATCCATGACTTTGTATTTCTCACCTTCATTCAGTGCTGCAGGTGGCAGGCTCACTCTCCCACCTTGCTCCATTTGCCAGGGTTAGAAGAGCCTTCCTCCAAGTCCTGTTTGCCTGCTCTCTGGGGGCTGTCCTGATTGGGGCTTCAACATTTACAAGAAACATCTCTTGTCTGCCTAACATTTGAAAAGCTGAACTTTACTGGAAAGATGAAGTGATTAAATCAGGAGTTGCTAGGATTAAGTGGAAGTATGGGAATTTGCTTCAGCAGTCTTAGTGCACTTTATGGATGTTGTTTTCTCAGAGAAGGCCTCATTTATTTGTAATAGGTTAGGCTATTCTCTTGGAAGCAGATGAGTGGAGATTGTAAAGTAGAGGTAGTGTGTTCTAGCATTGTGGGTATTTACAGTGGTATGTCATGCATTTTACTCTTGAACATGACTGTGTCTGATAACACAGCTCACATGCTGTTGTTGGGTGTGCAGCTTTTTGTTTTGGTTAGATTTGCCAAGCCCACTCTCTATATCTGTTTTCTTCTGTCATTTAGTGTCCTCTGCTGGTAGTTTCTAGTATATTTACCCTGTCAAAAACACTGAATATTTACAAAAGCATGGGATGAGAAAATCATCATTTTGTAGACCCTCCAGTAATAATTGGTTTAGGTAAGAATCTTCTAGCTGCCAAAGCCACTGGTAAAGATTTGTTAGAGGATTACCAGGCTAGAGAGGAACTTAACCCAGCTTGCTTGGTGATTTCATGGGTTGAAAAGAGACCTTTACACATGGAGAGGTCCAGCAAATATCACTATAATGCGATGATCACACACTTAGCATCACCAGTAATAACACAAATACACTTCTTGTGATCCTGATGGGATGCCTGTGTTGTCTGTATCAACCTGACTCTAATCAGGAAGAGATCAGGTAAACACATAGCAGGAATTATTCTGTAGAATGCCTGATGGGGACTTTTTAGAGGTTTTGTGAAGCACACCAAAGTAAAAAAGGTAATATTCTAAGTGAAAGAAGGGTTAAAAAAGGAAAAAAACCCCAGCAAACTGCAGTGTATGTACCTTTATTCAAAAACAGAACAGCTGTAAAAGACATAATTGGGACAAGTGGAGGTACTTGATGGATTCTGTACTAGATAATGGGTTCAAATCCATGTGAACTTATATGACTGTGGTGATGGCATGTGGTCATGTAGGTATTCAGTGATAGATACCTGTTGATGTGTGATGTCTGCAGTGACCATTTTCTCCTTAAACTTTTTAACAGTAACAATTTAAATCATGCCGAAAAGCTTTTTTTAAAATTTAATTCATAACTGTGTGCTGGTAGCTCACGCCTGTAATCCTAGCTACTCAGGAAGCAGAGATCAGGAGGATCATGGTTCAAAGCCAGCACAGGCAGGCAAATACTTTGTGAGACCCTATCTTGAAAATGCCCTTCACAAAAAAGTGTTGGGGGAGTGCCTCAAGGTGTATGCCCTGAGTTCAAACCCCAGTTTTGCAAAAAAAAAAAAAAAAAAAAAGATTAAAAAGAAAAAAGTTAACTCCTGTATCAAATAACTGTTATTTGGTAATGGCTGGAACTGCATAAAAATAAATGCCCACACTTTGGATTTATTTTGTGCTTTGAAGGAGTTTGCATGCACCATGTGGCTTTCTTTTGCACTTTCTTCATCCCAGTTCTGTTTGTAAGTCAGTGCTTTTGAAAGGTTTGTTCCTCTTCCCTAATTTTGCAGACTACCACCCATAGTTCGAGGAGGGGCCATCGACAGATATTGGCCCACTGCTGATGGGCGCCTTGTTGAGTATGACATAGATGAAGTGGTGTACGATGAAGACTCACCTTATCAGAACATTAAAATTCTACACTCGAAGCAGTTTGGAAATATACTTATCCTTAGTGGGGATGTTAGTAAGTATTCCATCTCTGCCCTGTTGGTGTAACAAAGTGGTGATGTGTTGAACAATGGTGTTTTCCTTAGAAATGACACTCTCGTGGATTTTGGAGTTTGGCTCTGACACTATCTTTTAAGATTCACACTTATTATTAACCTGCAGATTGTCTGAGTTTTCATGTAAATTTTGTCTTGACATTGCTTTTTCTTGTGATGACTGGTTAGATTATATTTCAAAAGAAAGTGCAGTCGCTTTTTTAAAAATATACTTTGTCATAAGAAAATTCAGACTTTAGTAGAGACGAGTGTGATGAACCCACATGTACTTGTCATCCAGGCCAACAATTATCAACTCCTGACCAGTCTTGTTTCACCTAAGCCCCAAGCCACCTTGTCACTGCTTCAGTATTTTGAAGCAGTTCCCAGATGTCATGTTATTTTATCTGTTATTCAGCGCTTAGTACATTATTAAAACTGTATTTTCTTCCCACTAACTAATGTCCCATTTGTACTAGATGTCAGATGAATGAAGTTGATGAATACTTTTCAATTCCAAAAACCAAAATAACCTTGCATGTTATGGAAAGTTTTTAAGGGTTGGAAAATTTTACATTTTAGGCTAGGTTCTAGCACTTTCTAGGTTGTGAGGTCATGTGGTTTGTGTATTTGGGTAAAGTCACCATTTGTATCTCTTTCTCCTCACTAGATTTGGCAGAGAGTGATTTGGCGTATACCCGGGCCATCATGGGCAGTGGCAAAGAAGATTACACTGGCAAAGATGTACTGATTCTGGGAGGTGGAGATGGAGGCATATTATGTGAGATAGTCAAATTGAAACCAAAGATGGTCACTATGGTAGAGATATCCTTTGTAGTATAAAAGAATAAGTTCAGTGGGTTTCTTTTGTTTCCTCCCTTTTGTAATCCAAGCCAGTTATTACCACAGAGCCAAGGCAGATGTGCTATGTAGACTGCCTTGGAAAAGCATTTCAATTTAGGACCGCCTTTTGTGTGGCCACCAACAAAGAAGTAGAGATAATGTAGCTGAGGATTAAAGAGCAGGATACTTTGTTACTCTGTCTACTGCTTATCAGTTTTCCAAATGGCTTCCCTAAGCCATTTCATGAGAAGAAAAGAAAATTTAGTTCCTTTTGAATGCCCTTATGTGAAAAAAGAATCATTATCATATCATTCTTTTAAATTTTGTGATACTCAAATTAGTATTATAAAACCTTTATGTTTGTCTTAACCTTTTATTAAAAAGTGCTACTATTTCAGAATTTTTTGATATGTTCAAATTCTCCTTAACCTGTTTCGGACATTGACCAAATGGTGATTGACGGATGTAAGAAATACATGCGAAAAACATGTGGTGATGTCTTAGACAATCTTAATGGAGACTGCTATCAGGTAATTATGTTTCCCTGGTAATGTATTTTAAGTCAACTGATAGTATAATTACATGTTATTGATAGGAATTGTGCCTTCTTAAAATAGCTTCTAGTATAATTGGCTAAGAAGATAAATAGGCGCCAATGACTCATGTCTGTAATCCTAGCTACTTGGGAGGCTGAGATCAGGGGGCATCTCAGTTCCATGCCAGCCCCAAAATAACCAGACCAAATGAGCTAGAGGTATGGCTTAAGCTGTGAATTCAAACCCTAGTCTCACCTAAATAAGTAAATAAATAGACTTTAAAAATGTGAGTTAAATGTATATTTATATTAAGGTAGATGTGTACAGATAATTTTAAAAAGGACCTCCAGATTCTCTGTATGCAATCACATTAATTATTGTTATTATTAAACTCAAATGTTGCTTTGCACATGCTAGGTATGCATTCTGCTACTGAGCTATACCACCAGCCCACGTTAATTCTTGTATAAAAAATATTATGTGCCTTCTTATGGCTTGATAACCACCACCTATTGTCTGTTTATTCTGAATAACTTCTTTGGGTCTTGATCTTTCAGAGGGAATTTAGGCCTTTAATTGGTACTTGAAGTTGATTAAAAATGGAGGTAGGGATAATTGCTTCTTGCTTATATGCAATTAGTTTGTGTCCTAAATTCTGCTGTGCTTGAAGTTGACTGGCCATTATGATGTGTAGGATACACTTTGTATTGTATTTGAAGGATTTGGCTGTTCTGTTCTCACTCTTAAGGGCTTTTTACTGCAAGATTTTATCCAGGAAAATACATTTTAACAGAATCTTAAATGCAGGTCTCCAGATTTGTAAGTAATTTAGATGATAGCAGTAGTTTAGTATTTAGTATGTAAATTACTTAACACCTCCTCCTTTCCTAATGTATGTGTATCTAAATTTGATTTCATGGTACATGTGTGTTAATTTTTGAGAGAGGAATTTTATCTACCTCAAAATGTAGTTGTGATTGATTTTGTGGCCAAAAGGGAAAAAATGATATAAATTTAGCATATACTATTGGAAAACTTAAAAAAGGAGGGGGTGGAGTAGGTTCTACAGAGCATTGGCTGAACTATTTCACTGTGAGTTCAAAATTACTATGATTTGCAAATAATGGGCTAGACCCTCTCAGCCTGCTGTGTTTAATCCTCACACCTGTACCCATTGGGTATTTTTTTTCTAGTCCACAGATGAAGATGAGGCTTAGAGAGATTAAAGGTAATTTATTTAAGGTTATATGGTCACTTTAGATGAGAATGGTGCAGACTACTGTCTCCTCAGCTTGTTATATGGGTTTCTTATGTGGATTAAGGAAAGACCAGAAGCAAAAACCCAAAGTAGCAGTTGAGCTGTTGACTGTTGGATTTAGAAGTCAGATGTAAGTGGGAGGATTGACTGAAAAGTAACTTGTTGAACTAAGTGCCAACCTGAAGGAAGGGCACATAGATGGTGACCAAGATGGTTGATGTATGAGGCAAGGGAAAAATACTTTTTTTGTGTGGGGGAGATTTTATGCTCAATCTATATGTGAATGAATAGTGTTAAATCCACCTGTTAATAGGAACCCGTAGTAACAAATCACATCTTGTTTTCACTTAAAAGTGCCTCTTGTGGGATTCGTTGGTCAGTGCATTCTCCTCCTCCTCTCTGGAATAGCATAACCACCAAGGGGAGTAGAAAATTCTTGTGCAGCTGAAAGTTCTCCTAAACTTAAGGGATGGAGTGTGATGGGGGATCTTGGCTGTGGGAAAAGACAGACTCACCTGACTATTTCCAGAGACAAACAAGCCTGTTGGCCATTAAACTGCTACCATTGAAAAGATAGGTTTTTGCATCTGTTTATCATTTGAAAAAAGCCAGGTACTCTAACATTTGTTTTAAAACTGTTCAAAGCACCCCCTCCCATTTCTTTCATAATGATAATATAACCTTAATATTGAAATAAAAGTAGTATACCAAGAAATGTAAATATATATGTATATGTTTATGTAAATGTATACATACATACACATGAAATTTCCAAGTAAAATAGTAAGTTAAATCCAGCAATTTATTTAAATAATTTTGTAGTACACCCAAGTATTATTTAGTTAAAAAATCTAAAGATGTGAGTTTTAAGAAGTCTGTGGGTGAAGGCCATGTATGATGGTGCACATCTGTAATCCCAGCTATCGGGGAGGCTGAGATCAGGAGGACTGAGGTCTAAGACTGCCCCAGGCAAAAAACCAAGACCCTATTTGAAAAATAATTAAAGCTTAAAAGGGCTGGGGGCATGGCAAACATGAGGCCCTGAGTTCAAAACCCTAGTACTGCCAAAAAATCTGTGGATGAATATGATCAAAGTACATTATATGCATGTGTAGAAATACGATGCAACTTATTACTATGTACAATTTAATATACACCATTCAAAAAAGAAAAAAGGAAAAATCTTAATTCATTATATAAATAATTTAGGGAGAAAAATAATATATCGCAAATGACAAAGAATTTGAGAATATTTATCTGTCATTCTTTTTGGTGATGCTGGGGTTTGAATGCTTACCTGCATTCTTTTTTTTTTTTTTTTTTTTTTTTTTTTTGTTCATTTTTCTTTTATTATTCATATGTGCATACAAGGCTTGGTTCATTTCTCCCCCCTGCCCCCACCCCCTCCCTTACCACCCACTCCCCCCTCTCTCCCCCCTCAATACCCAGCAGAAACTATTTTGCCCTTATTTCTAATTTTGTTGTAGAGAGAGTATAAGCAATAATAGGAAGGAACAAGGGTTTTTGCTGGTTGAGATAAGGATAGCTATACAGGGCATTGACTCACATTGATTTCCTGTGTGTGGGTGTTACCTTCTAGGTTAATTCTTTTTGATCTAACCTTTTCTCTAGTTCCTGGTCCCCTTTTCCTATTGGCCTCAGTTGCTTTAAGGTATCTGCTTTAGTTTCTCTGCGTTAAGGGCAACAAATGCTAGCTAGTTTTTTAGGTGTCTTACCTATCCTCACCCTCCCTTGTGTGCTCTCGCTTTTATCATGTGCTCAAGTCCAATCCCCTTGTTGTGTTTGCCCTTGATCTAATGTCCACATATGAGGGAGAACATACGATTTTTGGTCTTTTGGGCCAGGCTAACCTCACTCAGAATGATGTTCTCCAATTCCATCCATTTACCAGCGAATGATAACATTTCGTTCTTCTTCATGGCTGCATAAAATTCCATTGTGTATAGATACCACATTTTCTTAATCCATTCGTCAGTGGTGGGGCATCTTGGCTGTTTCCATAACTTGGCTATTGTGAATAGTGCCGCAATAAACATGGATGTGCAGGTGCCTCTGGAGTAACAGTCTTTTGGGTATATCCCCAAGAGTGGTATTGCTGGATCAAATGGTAGATCGATGTCAGCTTTTTAAGTAGCCTCCAAATTTTTTCCAGAGTGGTTGTACTAGTCTACATTCCCACCAACAGTGTAAGAGGGTTCCTTTTTCCCGCATCCTCGCCAACACCTGTTGTTGGTGGTGTTGCTGATGATGGCTATTCTAACAGGGGTGAGGTGGAATCTTAGTGTGGTTTTAATTTGCATTTCCTTTATTGCTAGAGATGGTGAGCATTTTTTCATGTGTTTTTGGCCATTTGAATTTCTTCTTTTGAGAAAGTTCTGTTTAGTTCACTTGCCCATTTCTTTATTGGTTCATTAGTTTTGGGAGAATTTAGTTTTTTAAGTTCCCTATATATTCTGGTTATCAGTCCTTTGTCTGATGTATATGGCAAATATTTTCTCCCACTCTGTGGGTGTTCTCTTCAGTTTAGAGACCATTTCTTTTGATGAACAGAAGCTTTTTAGTTTTATGAGGTCCCATTTATCTATGCTATCTCTTAGTTGCTGTGCTGCTGGGGTTTCATTGAGAAAGTTCTTACCTATACCTACTAACTCCAGAGTATTTCCTACTCTTTCTGTATCAACTTAGAGTTTGGGTCTGATATTAAGATCCTTGATCCATTTTGAGTTAATCTTGGTATAGGGTGATATACATGGATCTAGTTTCAGTTTTTTGCAGACTGCTAACCAGTTTTCCCAGCAGTTTTTGTTGAAGAGGCTGCTATTTCTCCATCGCATATTTTTAGCTCCTTTGTCAAAGATAAGTTGCTCATAGTTGTGTGGCTTCATATCTGGGTCCTCTGTTCTGTTCCACTGGTCTTCATGTCTGTTTTTGTGCCAGTACCATGCTGTTTTTATTGTTATTGCTTTGTAATATAGTTTGAAGTCAGGTATTGTGATACCTCCTGCATTGTTCTTTTGACTGAGTATTGCCTTGGCTATTCGTGGCCTCTTGTGTTTCCATATAAATTAACAGTAGATTTTTCAATCTCTTTAATGAATGTCATTGGAATTTTGATGGGAATTGCATTAAACATGTAGATTACTTTGGGAGTATCGACATTTTTACGATGTTGATTCTACCAATCCATGAGCATGGGAGATCTCTCCACTTTCTATAGTCTTCCTCAATCTCTTTCTTCAGAAGTGTATAGTTTTCCTTGTAGAGGTCTTTCACATCTTTTGTTAGGTTTACACCTAGGTATTTGATTTTTTTTGAGGCTATTGTAAATGGAATTGTTTTCATACATTCTTTTTCAGTTTGCTCATTGTTAGTGTATAGAAATGCTAATGATTTTTCTATGTTGATTTTATATCCTGCTACCTTGCTATAGCTATATGATGTCTAGAAGCTTCTGAGTAGAGTTTTTTGGGTCTTTAAGGTATAGGATCATGTCATCTGCAAATAGGGATATTTTGACAGTTTCTTTACCTATTTGTATTCCTTTTATTCCTTCTTCTTGCCTAATTGCTCTGGCTAGGAATTCCAGTACTATGTTGAATAGGAGTGGAGATAGTGGGCATCCTTGTCTGGTTCCTGATTTTAGAGGGAATGGTTTAATTTTTCTCTTTAAGTATAATGCTGGCTGTAGGTTTGTCATATATAGCTTTTATAATGTTGAGGAACTTTCCTTCTATTCCTAGTTTTCTTAGAGCTTTTATCATGAAATGGTGTTGGATCTTATCAAAGGCTTTTTCTGCATCTATTGAGATGATCAAGTGGTTTTTGTCTTTGCTTCTGTTAATGTGGTTTTATTACGTTTATTGATTTTCGTTATGTTGAACCACCCCTGCATCCCTGGGATGAAGCCTACTTGGTCGTGGTGAATAATCTTTTTGATGTGTTGCTGAATTCGGTTTGCCATTATTTTGTTGAGGATTTTTGCATCAATGTTCATTAAGGAGATTGGCCTATAGTTCTCCTTTTTGGAGGTGTCTTTGCCTGGTTTTGGGATAAGTGTAATAGTGGCTTCATAAAATGTGTTTGGCAGTTTTCCTTCCCTTTCTATTTCATGGAACAGTTTAAGGAGGGTTGGTATCAGTTCTTCTTTAAAGGTCTGATAGAATTCAGCAGAGAATCCATCAGGTCCTGGACTTTTCTTTTTGGGGAGACTCTTGATTGCTGCTTCAATTTCATTTTGTGTTATATTACCTGCATTCTTAATAAGAATTCATTAGGTGAAATAAAATTGCAATACAGGGAACACACCAAAACATAATAGAAAGTATTATCAGAAACTTAAAGGACAAAACACAAAATATAGTAAGGGGCAAAAGCCTTTGCACTGGAATTAGAAACCAAATGCTGGCTGCTTATTAGTCCCTGTGTTCAGCATTGTTTTTGAGGCAGGTACTATAGTAAGGTTGGAAGGTGAAAACAATATAAATAAAATAATTGCAGGTGATAGATTAGAAAATGTAAGAAACTTATCTAGATAATTAGTTGGGTTCATAAGAATGTGGTAAAATTGTAAAGGCAGACTAATTTTTTTCCTTTGCTAAATGCTGAACAGCTAAGGGAAATGGGAGGATGGCAGGAAATCCTTTTTAATCAACTTAAATACCTAGGAATAAAGTTAACCAGAATGATACTATGAGAATGATCTGAATTATGTTAAGGTTTTATTGAAAGACAACAAGTGGTGTCTGAGTTTGTAGAGAAGCATGTGCTATTTCTTGCATGAAAATAACAGAACAGTGTCTGTTTCTTAGTATTTTTTTTAACATTTCACATCTGTAACTAGGGTTTTAAGTGTTTGGGTTGCAAACACTTTAAACTTATTTTTCAAACATTCATTTAGCCTGTTCCTCTAAAACTGTTTGATTACAAAGAAACACAATGGGTTACTAACTGTGGCACAACTTAAGAAACAAGGCAGGACAGGCAAACACATACTTGAGAACATAAAATCATCCAAATAATTTTGTGAAGATCAAAAGACAAAATCAAGCCATCTTTTGTAACATAAAAGAAAACAAATCCACGTAATACTAGCTAGGTGGAAGAACATTATAGGGTATATAATTTTAATTCTCATTGCATAAATTTGCATATGTTAAATTTAATGTAAAAACAATCTGCTTTAATTTCAATTGAAGAGCATCATAAATGCAGCTCTTGGTGAATCTAGATGTAATGGAATGAATATTTAAATAGGACACAAAGATGTCAAGTTATTTGGTCATTTTGGCAGTATTGGTGTTTGAACTCGGCCTTGAACTTGGTAGGCATTCACTCCACCACTTGAGCCATGTCTCCAGTCCTTTCCCCAGTTTTAATTGTAATTCCAATCAGAGTCTCAAGGGCTTGGAATTAGACCAAGTGATTTTAAAGTTCATTTGCAAAAATATCTACAAATAGCCAAGAAAACTTTGGGACATAATCATCATGGGGACTTGTCCTATTGGTTGTTAATTTACTGTAAAGCACAGTGATCAAATAGGAAGCATAATGCAGACTCTAGACAAATAGAGAAAAGGAAAGTCATGGGAACCTGGACTTGTCTGAGTGTGTAGGAATATACCCATTGTTACTATGCGGCCTAAGATGCACTTGGGAAAAGGAGATTTAGATGATTTAATAAGTGATGGGCCATCCATCTAGTTGAGAACAAAGTTAACCCTAGCAACTGCAGAAAAAGGAATTTCAGCTAATTTGCCTCTAGATTTGAAAACTAATATATTAGGAAAATTTACCTTGGGAGTTGGGAACTATTTTAAAACAAAGATACTCAGAAACTGTTTATGGTGTTTCATTATTATTACCGAGCCAAAACACAGACTAGAGAAAGTACTTCTAACAAGTAAGATAGGGAGGTAATCCCTTGACTAATGCTAAGAGCCCCCTACAACTTAAAATATAAAAAGAAGTTGGATAAATTCAGAAAGGTGTAGTGGTACTTTTCGAAGAGGAAAGTCAGCCAACAGATGTTCACACCTGTGATCCAGGAAGTTCACTTGAAAGCATTGACAACAAACTTGTCAAAATTTTGTCTGTTTTTTTTGTTTGTTTTATTTTGAAGGTAGTGGAATTTGAACTTGGCCTCATGCTTGCTAGGCAGGCACTCTACCATTTGAGCCTTTTCTTGGCAAAATTTAGAAGAGCGAACAATACCCCACACTACGGAGGATGCAAAGAAACCAGCTTCTTGCATGCTGTTTGAATCATGAATTGATATCAAAACTAAAAAACTAGAACACACATGGCTTTTATCTCCTTAACCCAATGTTTGGGCACCCAACGCACAGGCCACGGCACCAATACAAAGGGGGTTATTATCACTGTGCTCATAGAGGCCAATACTTGGAAATAACAAGAGTAGAATGTTTTTAGTAGGATAGTGTACTTAAAATTATATATAATTACCTGGAAAAATGTTAGGTGAAAATGACCCAGTTCAGAATAGTGTGCATGATCCAGATTTTACAAAAGAGAATACGGTTTATTTATCTATGTGTGTGTGTTTGTAATATGTGAGCATATGGTAACATCATGGACATATCACATTATTTTCTGGTATGGGGGTATCAAACCCAAGGCTTCATACACTGAGCCACACTTCTAGCCCTTAAATGGGATTAATGTATGGCTCATAAGCAGCTTGGATGTTAGTACTTTCTCTGTCTTTGTTAGTTGAACTTGTGTGATGCATTAGGTGAAGCAAATTACAAAACAATAATTTAAAAATTACGGAGGCTTAAAAAACAGTGAGTTATAGGGAATGGGGCAGACTTTTGATTTCTAACTTGTTGTATGTGAATTTTTTGTTCTTGGAAAAATAAAAAATAAGAATAACTCCTGTGTCATTCAGGGTTTTGCCTAGAGCCAGATATGTCCTCAGAATATAACTAATACCTCAAAGACATGGCAAACCTCAGACTTATTTCCTGTATAGTAGTCTTCCCTTATCCTTGAGGAGTGACAATTTATCTACTATGTTTTTTCCTGACATACAGACCTGTGATAAAGTTTCATTTGTAAGTGGGGCACAGTAAGAGATTTACAATAACTATTACTAATAAAATAGAACAGTTACCATTTTTTTTTTTTGCAGTGTGGGGAATTGAATCCAGGTCCTTGCATCCTTGCATATGCTAGGCAAGTGCTCTGCCCCCAGCCCCAGCATCACCAGTCTTGTGCTTTGGGGCCATTGTTAAGTAAAATAAAAGTTACCTGAACACAAGCACTGGGATACAACAGTAGTCTGAAAACTGAGACATCTGCTGAGTGAATATTGGACAGGTTGTGTATACAGTATGGATACTCTGGACAAAGGGATTCTTCATGTCCTTGGTGGGGTGAGGTGAAATTTTTTTGTGCTACTCAGTAGCATACAATTTAAAAATGAAGAAGGCATATGCTGAACGCTTCTATTTTTGCATTAATAGACATGGATGAGACGGTCTCTTTGTGTGGCAGGTGCTATGGATCACAGACTCAATGTGTATTTCCCCTCCTCTGTAAGTGTTGTTTAATTACATCGTCATGTGTTGGCTCACATGCGTAATCCTGTTCTCTCTGAAAGGTGCTAATAGAAGACTGCATTCCAGTACTGAAAAGGTACGCCAAAGAAGGGAGAGAGTTTGATTATGTGATTAATGATTTGACGGCTGTCCCAATCTCCACATCTCCAGAAGAAGGTAGATTCTGTTTTGTGTCATAAACCAAGATATTTGCTTATGGAAATGTTTCTTCTTGGCACCTTGGGAGGATGAAGAGATCTTAAGAGATTGTCTATTTCTCTCATTTTTTGAAAGGAAATTCAACAGATCCATGGTGGAAAGATGGCTGGATTTGGCTTTGATTTAATTCCTGTTCTGCCATTAAATGACTGAATTTGAGAACTCAGTTATTTGAAACAAACATTAAAAGTACGCATTTGGATTTAGACTGGAGGTGTGGCTCAAGTGGTAGAGTGCTTGCTTTTTTGCAAATGCAAATCCCTGAGTTCAAACCCTAGTCTCACCAAAAAAAAAAAAAAAGTACTCATTCACATCATGGAGACTTTAAATTGTTTGGTAATTTATTTAAATGATGTGATCTTTACCTGTGGTGGGACAAACTGGTGACCTTTCTAAAACAATGTTAGAGATGATTCCCTTTCTTAAACTACTGCCTCAAATCACTGCTCATTGTGTTAATGTTTTCTCTATAAACTTGACTTCTTGCTGAGTTTGCAGAACGGGGTCATATGCATGATGACCCTTGCAGTTTCTCTGGGAATGTTGCTGTTTTCCTATGTAAAGCAGTTTTCTTTTAGATTTCAATCACTGCCTTTGTTTTTTATGAGGGTAGGGTTGTTTGATATGGAACCCAGGGCCTCCCACACGCTAGGCTAGGCAAGCACTGCACCACTGAGCTATATCTATAACCCCCATGTTAAATCTTTATTGGTTGTGGGAGAATAGTGCTAAGTGAATGCCTGTTGATTTTGACCTTGATGTTTGTATGCCATGTGTGTAGGACAGTAGCTATATAGGTGGTATATTATTATTCATGAACAAACTCCAGTATTGGGTTTCAAGCCATGGCTCTTTTTTTGTGTGTTGTTGAGTATTAGAGTGAATGTTTGATGGTAGGTGTTTTTGATGCATGCCAATCCATATTTATAAAACTTGTTTTTTTTAATCATCCAGATTCCACTTGGGAGTTTCTCAGACTGATTCTTGACCTCTCAATGAAAGTATTAAAACAGGATGGGAAATATTTTACACAGGTAGGCTACCCAATTTTCCCCCTAAGACTCTCAATAAGAATTCATATTTTGAAATTCAAATGCATATTCTTGAAATTTACATATGTTAAGAACAGAACAATTCACTTGGATTGTGTTCTTTTAAGTAGTACATTTCCAAATAGCTGACCTGTCATCTTTTGAGAATTTGAGTTTAAGATTATCTTTATTTGTCAACCCTGGTCTTTGGCTGCAGCATGAGTTTTTGTCACTAGATGGAGACATAGACCATGTTTTTGTTTCCTTCCCTCATTACTTGATCAGTGACTTCTGTAGTATGAGTTGTGACCACCAGATGGAAGCAAATTGGGGCACATTTTACTCATTCTGAAAGTTTGAAAGTGTATTTCTTGATATCTTTATAAAATACGTATTGACACAAAAGCCATTAAAATCTTTAATAAAACTGTGAATATGTCAGCAAAGCTAACTAATTGATAATTCAGTCTGTACAGGAATTGTTTGATTTGTAAGCAAAAGGTCAGCACTTAGGTCTCTCAATTGTTTTTTTTTTTTAACTGATAAAAGAAGTTTCTTATTTAGATCATAAAGCTGTCATAAACAGTATTCCATATTCTATAGTATGTCCATATTATTACTTAAGAAACTATATGTAAACTGTGTAAGGTAAAAATTTGTTGCGTTTGGACTTCAGAAATTGATTTCATTAAAATGTATATTTGTTAATTATAATATGTGCTACTCTTTAATTAAAAATTTAATTAGATTTACTTCGAACTGATTCATAAAACTGTAAAATTGTACATATTGCTGGAACACTATGTGACGTTTTGATACATACACATTGTGTAGTGCTTAAAGGTAAACATTTATACATTTGTCCTGAAAGCATTCAAGCTCCTTTCTTGTATCTTTTTGAAATGTGTACATAACTGTTATATGTAGTTGTTGTGGCAATATAGTCAGAGGAGAAACCAAGCAACACTCGGAGGAGTGGAGAACTCAGATTTTAATTTTTACGCTAGCGGGCCCAGACTTGTACCAGTGTCTGAGCCCCGAACAAAGGATTCACAGGATATTTAAAAGGCAGTGCAGGGTATCAGGTTACAAGGAATGTGCTCTCCCATAAAGTAGGGCTAGTAGTGGGTTAGAGACCTGAGGTTTAGATAAGAGCAGTGGGGGGAGGTCTGCTTTGGAAAGTTTATTTACAAGTGGAGACAAAGGAAGGCAGGAATGGGTGCTTATCTCTGCATGGTGCCTTTCATCTTGGTCCCAAACTTTTGCATGGCTCTAATGGGCAACTCCTTACAGCTCTGTCCGAGGTTACAGCTTTTAATTGACAGTTTACCATGTTTTACAACCCTGTTTCAAGGCTATCTTCCTCTTCATAGTAAGCCTACTGTGGAGTAGCACCAGAACTTCTTGCTGCAATCTGACTGTAGCATAGCACCCATTGATCAATTCCTTTAAAAAAAATTAAGCATTAGATATTTAAATGTCAACATGTACAGGTGTTAACTTTATTCTCCCAAAGGGGCACTTGGCAACAGACCCTTGCTACCCTGGACATTTCGTGGTATCTGAGATGAATAATGCTGAACATAACTTAGCAACTGCAGATTCAGGCTCCAGCCTGTCCTGTTTTCCTCCTCCTCCCACTGCCAGCAGACCTGCAGGCATGTGGTGATTCATCCTGGACTTTGAACTTGGTGAGAGTGTTGCAAAGCTTTGAGGAGCAAACAACTGTCTGTGCATGGATATTTTCTCCTCTGATATTTAGAAATGATTTTTTTAAACATATTCTAGACTAATTTTGTTGAAATCAGGGGTCTGCAAACTGTGGTACAAATGTGGCCTTGTGCTGTTTTGTAATTTCCTTGGCACATAGTGTCTGTGACTGCTCTCCTGTTGCATCGGCAGTACAGAATATGGTGAGGGAGGCAGTATGGTCTACATAATCTAAGTATTCTGTCTGGCCCTTTACAGAGGAAGTTTGCTGGCCTCTGCTTTACAGTATATTTATGGGGAAAGTTTCTCAAACAAGACTTCTTACTATAAAAGCAATGAAGATTCAGTGAGTTGGGCTTATTGGCAATTGGGTATTCCTTAAGCAGAATATCCCTATGGCATTTTTTTTTGGTGGGACTAGGATTTGAACCCAGAGCTCTGCAGTTGGCTAGGCAGGTGCTCTACCACTTGCGCCATGCTTCCAGCCCATTTTGCTCTGGTTATTTTGGAGATAGCATCTTGCTTTTTGTCCAGGCTGGCCTCCTATTTTACACATCCCACCATTGCTGGGATGACAGGCTCATGCCACCATGTCCAGCTTTCTTATCTTGAGATGGGGTCTTGCAAACTCTTTTGCCTTGGGTGTGGCTTGGGATGATAGGTGTGCACCACTGTGCCCAGCTATTGGTTGAGATGAGATCCCACAAACTTTCTTTTTTCTTTTTTTCCCCCCAGGCTAGCCTTGAACCTCGATCCTTCTAATCTCAGTCTTCCAAGTAGCTAGGATTAATCTGGCACCTGGCTACATACAGCATTTTTTTTCTTTCATGTTTTCTAAACAGGAACTCTCATACAGGTTGAGTCAAGGAAGGATATGGTGCTCTTGAATCTTTAAGCAAAAAGAGACTGAAACTAAACAGGAATGGTGGTTCCTGCCTGTAATCCCAGTATTTGGATGCTAAGGCAGGGGGGTCCTAAGTTTGAATGTAGCATGGGGAACAGAGAGAACCCATCTCAAAAAGAAAAATAAGTCAAAAAATATGGATCGTCTGTGAACCAGTTAGTTCATAATAGACAACAGGTGGCATTGGAATGTATGACTGTTTTTATTTCCTCAATATTTATTTGCCTGTCCACTGCCTCCTATGGGGCACTGGTATTTTAGTGTGGGTGGTTAGTAGAAATGCTTACTTAGAATACTACCACAGCCCGTTCCTAAATTCTAATGACCCAGGCCTTGACAACCTGCCTTTTCTTGAAAGTGCCCTGTTAATGTGCCCTGATGCTGCTGGGGAATGAGTTGTGGATATCATGGGAATGCAGCTAGCTCAGGTGGGCTGGTTGCATGGAAACTGGGAATAGGTCCTTGAGCTAGAACACTCTTCTCCTCTCCATTCCCTGTTTAAAAATTGGTAGACTGTTTGATGCGTAAAAATGAGTACACAATGTGAGTTGCAATGCAAATGGTAGAAAACGTGACCACTGTGCTCCTCCCTAATCCTTGCGGCTTTCTGGAAGTAGCCCAGCCTGACTGTCAATTTGTTAAAAGTCCTGCCTTTTCTTTATAGATGGTTCACATAGGTATGATTGCCTGTATTTAGTTTTGCTTACTTTGAAACCTGATTTTAAAAAGGTACCATTACGAATGTATTCTACCTGTTTGTTTTACATTACAGAAGTAATAGGTCAACTAAATTTATTCTTTTGGTGGCACTGGGGTTTGAACTCAGGGCTTCATTCTTGCTAGGCAGATGCTCTTACTGCTTGAGCCCTCCACCAGCTCCTAACTTAAATTTAAAAGATGCAAATACTACAGGAATCTATAAAGTAAAAAAGCAAGTGTCACCCACCTACATCTAACATGGGGCAAGGAGAACTTTCTAGAACTGAAGCTCCTGAATTGTCCCACCTCTTCCTCTCATCTTTAATGGATGATTAACTCTTTGCTACTAGAATTTATTCTGTATCTTCTATGTCTCTTTCTTAAAAAGAAAGAAAAAAATGTTTAAGTAGATAGGAAAGTGAAATGTCTCCTGTTACTTTTTTGGGTAGGTCTCTATTTGTGGAACTTCTATTTTCTTTTTAAAAACTGCCTTCTTGACAATGTTGGGAAAGAGCAAATTGAAACCTTTTCATTTCCTTACCACATTCTTTGTAAAGGAGACCTGGCCCTCCCATATACCCTTTATAAAGAAAGAGCAGGGTGTCAGTTTTAAGATGGCAGAAAACCATTTAGCTGTGTACCTTGGTGGCATTTCCATTGTATGTAGCTTCCCCAGTGGTGATATGTACTAAAAACAACTGGACAGTGTTTTCTATTTATGAATCGTAAATTATATGTGTCGTGTTTATATGCTCTCATGATGAACCTGATGTTGAAACCAAATTATATACTGGCAAAGGGCACTTTGGCCAAATCCCACTGCAGGACCCTAGATGATGGGTTATTAAACAGGCTGGCAGTGAATAATGACGTCATGCTGAGCAAATGTGCTAAGTTGAAGCCACCAAGGCCAGCTCTCAGAATAGTTCTAACCTCTTGTCCATGGCTGACTGGCTTAGTTTTGAAATGCCATTCTCAGAAGTTCTGACGTCATAGGCTGCCTTGGTTTGTAAGTAATTTTCACGCAACATTGTTTCTTGACTGTTTTGAGGAAGGAGATTAATAAAATTCTTCAGAAGAAAAAGTAGAATCAACACATAGATTCAATATTCTTCTGAATGTTAACATCAGTAGCTAAAAAGAAATAGTTGGCATTAAATAACCATCTTGTTTTCTAAATCCAAAATGAAAAGCACCTGGGGACAGATTGTGCTAAAATGATGATAAACCGTACTCCAGACAACTGAGTCAGAATATGCATTTTAACAAGATCCCCTGTGACTCATATGCACCTTAAAAATTGAGAAACACTCTACTAGAGCTAGGTACGGACTGGATCCATTTAGTGATACTATGTTTTGGTACCTGTAATTCTCATCACCTTTATTTCCTCATGGTCACAAGATGGCTGCTATAGCTCCAAATGTCACATCTAGGTTATAGTGTAGAGGAGAGCTGAAAGGGCAGGTCACTATCCTTGATTGTTCAGAATCAAAAGCTTTCCCAGCTGACTTCCACTATATCTCATTGATTGACCACCCCAACTGCTGGGGAGACTGAAAAAGTGGTGACCAAAAAGCGAAAAAAGTTATGAGAATGAAGTTAGGAGAAAGTTTTTGATAAAGACTACAGCTGGGCTATATCCTT